TTTTTTTGAAAAATTCATAACTTTTTTGGAGTTAGGTAAAAAAATTCAAAAAAATTCTGAGAACCGTTTTTTATAGGGTAGAAAAGGATGGAAAACTTTCGGCCAAATCGAAAAGGGTCGGGGTCAAAAGTGGTCGATTTGGCATGGAATACCCCATAAATAACATCCATACAAAAAAAAATCACTTTTTGTTTTAATTAAAAATATTTTTACCCACAAAAAAATAATATCTTACTTTTTTTTTGGTTCAAAAAATTTTATTATCAATTAATGAATTATTAAAAAAATTCTTTGATAAAGATATTTTTATTTAACCTGAAAAATTTCCTATTAAATAAAATTTTTGAACAAATTTAAATAATTAACCAAAAGATTGATTTTAAAAATAAATTTGAATGTTTCAAGTAAATTAAAAAAAAACATTTTAATAGAAAATTCAATTTTTAATAGAAAAAAAATTCAATTTCTAGGATTTGAAGATTTATAGCCGTCGAAAGTTAATTATTTATTAGTAAAATTATGGTAAAGAAGAGAAAACGAATAAAATATATTTTAGATAGGATGGAGCAAAAGAACCTGTAGATGTGTAGACCTACACGTAACCCACACATATAACCTTAAGTATAGGTATGATCCACATGACCCCCTCCAAATGTCAAGTTACGTCGCTTCGGTCGACGTCAGTCGGTCTTCCGCGCTTGCTAGAGCCCGCGCACTTTCAGTCGTGTCTCGCGACTTGCTTTAAATTATTGTAGATTAAATACAATAATTATATTAAATATTCTATCTTATATTGTTGCTATTTTCGAATTAATTTGTACTTTATGTCACCAAATTCAAATAGTGGTTTTATTAGCCGCGATTTAATTGCTCGATCGAATCAATATTAACACCGAATATCGGACGTCAGCTGCTACCAGTTAAATCAGCGCCTAAGTAAGTACATTTTTTTATTATTTTTTATTTAGGATGGCTGATAAATATTCGATCCGTTTATCACTGATAGTAGTCTGCACATTAATTTATTACTCACATGTTATAGTGTTTGATTTTATAACTAGAAAATAATATTGTTAATTTTATCTATTTAAAACTAGAAAATAAAAATTTTTTTGTTTCCAAAAAAATGAAAATTTTGTGGCAAAGAATTTTTTTGAACCTTTTATTTAAGGTCTAAATTTTTGAATAGTTACTCAGCGAAATTTATTAAAATTTTTTGAAAATTCCCTAAAATAATAAGAAATTTTAATTGCAAGTTTTGAAAAAATTTTTCATAAATAAATATTTTTTTTAAGTTAGCGAAGAAAAAAAATTTTTTAATCAACAATTTTTAACATTTGTTTATTGAGAAACTTAAAAAAAAACTGTCTGTTTTTCTTTGAAAATTTTTAAAAAATAAAATCAATTTTTTAATCAATTGCACGCCTCATAAGCGAAGCGTTGAGGTAGTGCTCTACTCTCGATATTTAAAAAAAAGCATTTTTCTCGAAACTGAAATTGATTTTTTTTTTATTTATATCGCACTTACAGGATAATCGGAGTGTACTAATATTAAATAAAATAATTTGTCAGGGACAATTAAAAATTGTAGTAAGCTTGAAAAATTTTTTAATTTATTCAAAAAAATTCTTCAAAGTAACTTTCAATAAATTCATCATAATTTTTAATTTAAAATTTGTGCAAAAAAAATTACAAGCATTTACACTTATAAAATTCACTACAACATAACAACAATATTTAAAATATAAAAAAAAAAACCTCATTAAATTCTTACACTGCCATAAAAAAGCTCGTTGAAAAGTCAAAACAAAAAAATGAATAAAATTATAAAGATCAGAAAATAAAAAAGTAATCTCATCTCTCATCCGATCTCTTTTATGTCCTAACAAGGTCTTAGATATTAACATCAACAGAGTATGGTAGAGTTGTATCGCTACGTGACAATTCAAAAGGGTCGAGGTATCACACGTTAGTTCCCATTACTTATACTACATCCATTACATTACATCCAGCTCTCAGTTCCTGGTTTAGTTCCCAGTTCACAGTTCAGAGTGTGAGAGTATAACATAAAAAAGTACTTGCAGCTAGTACTAGTACTAGTACCTACATACTGATACTGTAACCAAGTAGAAGAGTCGAGGAGTACTAGTACGCGATGTACTAAAAAGGTTCACAACCTTAAGCCGCGTAATAAATTCAGCGCAGCAAACATCTTACTTGTCTCTTATTCTATTCACACTCTTCTTATTATTATTGTTATTGTTATTGTTATTGTCATTATTAATATTATTGTGGTTAATTTAAATTGTATAAATGAATGCACGGCCCATTTAAAATTTTTCCATTGATAAATTTAATAACTCACCTCTTTTGTAAATTAATTATTTATTTTCTCTCTGGGTTTTTTAGATTACCAAGCAACACACAAATTGCAATCGCGGCGTTATTTAAAGATACCACTGTGCAAATATATTTGCGTTTCCATTGGTTGTACTATAACGGCGGTCGCGGGATTGAGTAATGTAATGGAGATTTAATTGTTGATAAAGATATTATCTGGGTAGAGTGAATCAAGGTGTACGTGAAGAGAATTAAACAGGAAAAATAATCATCTAGTTCTTGTAGAGTTTTTTTTTATTTAAGTCGATAGGAATTAATATTACTGAGGTTATTAAATAAATAATCTACCAACTCTATCATTTTATCTATATTATTAAGAGAATAATATTTTAAGAAATGACCTTGTATCTTGTGAAATATTGACATTTTTAAAGATATAAGCTCATCCCGATGTTATACTCATCGAGACCTTTCATTTGAGTACCCACATCAATTTTTCATATATTTATATATATTACATATATGTATATATGAAAAATATATCATAAATGCATATGGGTACTCAAATGAAAGGTTTCGATGAGTGTAACATCGGGATGAGCTTATATCTTAAAAAATGTCAATATTTAAGAAAATCATAAATGCATATGGGTACTCAAATGAAAGGTTTCGATGAGTGTAACATCGGGATGAGCTTATATCTTTAAAAATGTCAATAATTAAGAACTGACATTGCTATCTCGTAAACTATCGACATTTTTAAAGATATAAGCTCGTCCCGACATTACACTCATCAAGACCTTTCATTTGAGTACCCACATCAATTTTTCATATATTTATATATATATTACATATATGTATATATGAAAAATATATCAAAAATGCATGTGGGTATTCAAATGAAAGCTCTTGATGAGTGTAACATCAAGATGAGCTTATATCTTTAAAAAAGTCAATAATTAAGAACTGACATGGCTATCTTGTCAACTAATGATATTTTTGTTACAATAAAACTATCACTGTAATAGTGTCTCAATGTTATCTTACGAATTTATATAATTTTTTAGAATTTTTTAGTTGAACTAACACTCAAATATAGTACTGTACTCTTAAAAATGAAATTTGTAGTATAGTATTACATAATGAGGCCTAAATTGATGTTAAAATTATTATCTAGAGTAGAGTACAAATCGCCTCTGCCAATGCATGCTGCACTGGAGTCTTAATTAGACATTAGTCTACTTACAGTTTATTAGTTATGCAGACGTTTATGCACGATATGATAATTAAATTTTGCTTTTTTTTTTTTTAACTGCTGTCATTATTTAATATTCTATTATCAGTACTTTCTAAAGGTTTTACTTAATAAAAATAATAATAGTAACAATAATAATAATTTTAGAAAATCAGAATTATTATTTCAATATATTCTAAATTTAAAATATAAACAATTTTTCCGATTTTTTAAAATTATTATTATTATATAATGCATCAAGTTTTTTTAAATAAATAAAAATAATAATAGTGAAAAACAATAATTTATTTTTTTTATAGCAAGTATTTTCATTAAATTTTTTGAGATCTAAAATGAACTTTTATGAAAAGAAAAAAAAATGGAGCAAAATGTCGAGGTCAATTTTTCTCCGTAAATATTTTATAAAAATTAATGTGAAAATTTCCAGAAGACAAAAGTCAAAGGTCAGGTTTAAATTAGGGACAGAGACGCTGAAATTATTCGTTGCTAACTAGGATGACTTTTTAATAATTTATTACACAAAATTATCTCATTAGCGTTAATTTGTACTTAAAAAAAAAAATACTAAAATTGTTTTGCAATTGTCGGTATATTTAATTTGACAAGTAAATAAAGTAAATAAATTGATAAATTCCGAGGTGACAATGATAAAATAAAAGGAGCCTTGAATGGGTGATCGAAATAATTTTTCAATAAAATCTCTGAGAAAATTAATAAATGAATAAAAATGAAAATAAGTGAAGTGTAAATAATAATGGTTTTATAGTTTTACGTAAGGGCGTAGGTGTGTATAGATATGGCGAGATATAGAGATGGTATGTAGCCATATTACTGCTGATGTACGTAGGTTCCCCTTGACTTCCTGTCAATTGCAGGCAATTTCAAATAATCATCAATGAACCCCACACGTGATGCCTCGGCACTCATCCTATCTTTTAATACTTTATACGTCGACCTGATTTAACGAATATCTGCCGGATTAATCCGTCCCATTTCACGTTTAAAGTTTTCCCACGTTTTGTTACTATTTATTTTTTGGTTCGAGTTTTATTGTAAAAATAATTACAGTATCCATCATTAATTAATGTTAAAAACTTGATATGTTATATAATAATAACAATAATGGTAAATTTAAAAAGTCAAAAAATTATTAATTAAAGATAAAAATTTTGAACTTTAAACCTCAAATTTTGGGTAAGAATTTTCTAAGATTGTAATTGATAATGATAATAATAATAAATTATTTCATGAGGCCAATGACTTATAGGTGTTCAAATTCGAGTGTAAATTCAGTAATTAGAAGTCTTTTATAAATAGTTAACATTACTATAATTATAATCTCAATGTTTGCTCAATAAAACGACTTCAATTTATCTTTCAAATCGTTTGTTTACATAATTAATAATTACCCATACATTACATTTGTACCTTAAAATAAATTCACTGTTTACTTTATCTGGCTGAAACTTTCTTATTTTTATTCAATGGATTATTAATTAAATATTCTTTCACAAGAATTGATTTTATTAAGGCCGAATATTTTTGCGAACTCAAAACTCTGGAATGCAATTTTTGAACCCTCGTCACTGTCAAAAATTAATTTTTTTTTTTTACTAATTTACAGAGCGAAAGTTTTTTAAAAAATCAATTTTTTCTCAATTTTCAGATAAAAATTTATTCATAAAATACAATTAAAAATAAATTTCATGTTAATGAGGTAGTAAATAAATTGAACTTTGAATAATTATAAACGGTCGTTAATTTACAAAGGACCTAATTAATTGTAAAGAAAGTAACATAAAATGTCAAGTAAAAGTTTAAAGTACCATAACCACCGAGTATTAATTTAAGCGATAAATTTACTCTACAACTATTAAAGTGAATATCACCTGAAAATAAAATAAAGCAAACTAGTATAGAATAAAACTAAAATAAAAGCCGTTGTAGAATATATACTAAGAGGTCTTCCAGGTCTTCTAACGGGACCAGATCAGATCAACTAAACCACTAATAAAAACTCCCACTTTTTTGTTTATTATTCATGTTAATCAAATCACTTTTATCTATTTTTTATTCTCAATAACTCTTAATATAAAAATTAACAATAGATAATAAATTATAAAATATCATTATATTTTCTTAACTGGCTTTCCTCAATACAAAAAAAAAATACAATTTATTTATTATTGTTCCGGCGATAAATTGAGTTTCAAGTTGGAATAATATCAGTTTTGCTAAATGAAAACAAATGCTGATGTTTGAGTATTGCGTAATTTATTGAAGAGCTATTTGCATTGCTATATATTAATGTGAATTGAGTTATGTCTCGAGCCATGAGATGACAAGTGTATTGTAGACATTTATTATTGTTATCATTATTTATTTATTATTATTATTTTTATTAGTAAATTTTTAAAACATGATAATTGAATAATAATCTTAAAAAAAAAAAAATAATAATAATTTTAAAGTTATTATTATTATTATTTTATTTAACTATTGTAGACTATTTATTTGCTATAATATTATTAAGTACCATTATTATTAATGTATATTGTTGAATCATAGACTACTTGTTGAGTGATGTCTGTATTTGTTATTATTATTATGATTTATATATTGTTTGGATCTCTGTACCTGTTTTCCAGTATAACAATAATATAATACAATATAAATGTATAAGTACATAAATGTATAATGTGGCTCCCATCCGCGATCCGCGGCTTGGTAAATCGTGACGGGATCGCTGATGAGTAGCGGTAAATTATCATTGACATTTCTTACACGCGGTGCAAAGTGTAATACAAAGTGTACAAAGTTGACAGTGGTAAAGTGAACAAGGTCACTGATCAATGATCTTCAAATTATTCTTATTTATTTTTTGTTTCAATTATCATGAGTATCTGCGTCCTTTTTTATAAATAATATTTAAATTTGTTTATTACGGAAGTTAAATTGTGAATAATTTTATTTAAGTAAATATTCAGATTGTTTTTATTTTAAGATTGTATCAGACAATGGAGGGAAATTATATAAAAATTAAAGAAAATATACAATTGATACAAAGTAATTTCAAGAACACACAATCAAAAATTTTGTGTTAAAAATTTTTATGTTTACTATTTAACACTTTTGTGTTGATTTAACAAAATAAATGCTAAATTTGCACATAAAAGTGTTAAATATTTAACACGAAATTTTTTAATGTGCAAGCGGTCCCGCCGAAGGCGTATGAAGTTTTATTGCAATTAATATGTTGTATTAAATGAAAGTTAATTAAATGGTTGTTAAATTTTTAAAAAAATTATTTTTAATTTAGTACTCAATTCTCTTACAGTGAGAGAATTCAGCGATTATGCGCCATCTATCGGAGGTTTTTGATACTATTTTTGGTTAAAAAATTGTATGGACATTTGTAACCATACTAGGCTATATAAAAGCATACCAGAAAATTTTTCATAGAAAAAGAAATATTATTAATCCAAGAAAATTGTAAAAAAGAAAATTTTTTTTCTAATAAAAAATGATTAAAATTAAAATTTTAAATAAATTATTTAATCTAAAAAATTGTTCTGTGTTGTTTTAGGTATAGGGCTGAATAAATAAAAATCCAAGGCCACTTGACAATGAGTCGCACAGGATATACATGTATTAGGCACGTCTTTTGCTCTCTGAACGTGCTTGTTTGGGTAAGCAGACGTTTTAAATTAAATATATTATTATTATTTATTTATATTGAAAACTCAACTATTTAACATCTGTATGGTGCAACCGGGCTTCATTGTGGGTTTTATCCAGTCGCCTTTTTCTCAGAGTGAAAAGAAGTAATGTGAGGAAGTATAAGTAAAAAGAAAGCCGAGTTTAAATGAATAAAAAAAAGCTAAAAAAAATTGAATAAGACCTGGTTTCTGGGAATTAAATATTGACCTGGAAGTACGAACAGAGTGAAGTGCTGCTAGACATTTATAAAATAGTTATGCTGTACTATAACTACGTTCTACTTGGATTGAGCTGAGAGCTAAGAGCTGGGAGCTGAGCTACTGTTATGTTAGTTAGTTGTATTGCTATTATATTACTATACCAAGCTCCGCGATTCTGTTCACTGAGTTTTAAGAACCTGTCGACGATTGTAAATAATCGATTCGGGTCGATGAAATCTCGATAATTGTATCAATGAACGTAATTTTCGATAATGTATATTATTTTTATAAAATTATAGAAAATCTTCGAGTTTATTACGGATGAAGCAAATTTATAAAAAAAAAAACTTAATTAATGCTATTGAAATAGATAAATATAAAATACTCATTTAATAAAATTACTTATTTTCTGTAATAAGAGTTAGTATTGCTTTGATTGATCATTTTTTAGTGAATAACCAAACAATTAAAAAATTTATTAGCTATTATTAAATTAAAGAAAATAAATTTTTAAATGTAATAAATTTCATTTATGTTTTTTTTTTCTGTATATATTTTTAATATAATTAAATTACTTATAATTAAATTACTACTGGTGGTGGTTGGAAAAAGCTTGAATTTTATGACATCCTATAAAACACTGAGCGCCAATGTTTCAAACGATACTGATTTATTAATAATTACTATTTTATTTAGTGTTAAAAAATATTTAATTATATTCAATAAATTTATAAGTTATTGAAAAAATTCATTTATTAATAGTTGATAAATTATTTTATCAGTGCTGGATTTTTTTATAAAAATTGAGTTTTTTTGAGAACAGTTATTTTAAATTTTTGCCAATTTTTATCCAACAGTTATCAGCATGTGGGATACTCGGAGCAGTGCTTTGGCTACGATTAGCCACTTCAGGACTCGCCAATTTAGTACCACAATACAATTTCGCCTCTGCTGACACAGTATTTTTAATTATCGGAGGCGTAACATTCGTCGTCGCATTCTTTGGATGTTGCGGCGCATGGTTCCAGTCAAGATTCATGCTAATAACCGTGAGTAGATTGCATTTGTCATACATCCCCCAATAATTACAAAATTGCCTTCTATTATTTCGAATGAGTGTAAATTTTACGGAGTAAAATAAATGCATGCATTAATAATGATAAACTAAAACTAATAATAGTTTGTAAACATTGTTCCAGTATTTCAGCCTGGTAATAATGTTATTCTTGGCTGAATTTATGCTCGGAGCATTGACCTTTGTTTTTCGTGAACAAGTATCCAGAAGTGTGCAGCAAGAATTATTGTTGGGGATTCAAAAACATTATAATGTCACAAGGGAACCTGGTACCCTGCCTGCATTGTGGGATCATATTCATCAAGGAGTAAGTTTATTCAATTATCTATGTTATTAATTATTTAGGCTGCATTCGAAAATACTCTATCTCTAGATATAAGCTCATCCCGATGTTACTCTCATCAAGACCTTTCATTTGAGTACCCACATCAATTTTTCATATATTTATATATATTACATATATGTATATATGAAAAATATATGAAAATGCATGTGAGTACTCAAATGAAAGCTCTTGATGAGTGTAACATCAGGATGAGCTTATATCTTTAAAAATGTCAATAATTAAGAACTGACATTGCTATTTTGTCAACTAATGATATTTTTAAAAATATAAGCTCACTCCGACATTACACTCATTGAGACCTTTCATTTGAGTACCTACATTAATTTTTCATATATTTTGTATATTTATATATATTTTATATATATGAAAAATATATAAAAAATTCATGTGGGTACTCAAATGAAAGCTCTTGATGAGTATAAATCTAGATGAGCTTATATCTTTTAAAATAATAATAATTAAGAAATGACCTTGTATCTTGTGCACGATTGACATTTTTAAAGATATAAGCTCATCCCGATGTTACACTCATCGAGACTTTTCATTTGAGTACCCACATTAATTTTTCATATATTTATATATATTATATATATGTATATATGAAAAATATATCAAAAGTGCATGTGGGTACTCAAATGAAAGCTCTTGATGAGTGTAACATCAAGACGAACTTATATCTTTAAAAATGTCAATAATTAAGAAGGTACAGTATAATTTAACAAGCCATCATTTAATAAAGCAAAATTTTATTTATTTATAGTTCAGATAGATTAAAAAATTAATTTCTAATAAAAAGTAACTTTTAATTTTTACAAAACAGTTACATTGTTGCGGGGTTCGGGACTACACCGACTGGTTCCAAATCGACGCCTGGCCGACAGAGGACCGGGTCCCCGACTCGTGCTGCATAAAGCGGGAGCGCTACTGTGGAAGACTGGACCCGGAAGGTCGGAACAAAGAGTCCTGGTATAAAGAAGGATGTGCCGCTGCCATCCAAACTTGGGTCGTCCAAAGACTCCACGTGCTCGGCTCAGTCGGGCTGATCGTCGGGTTCCTCCAGCTCTTCGGGCTCGTCACCTCCATGATTCTCTTCTGCACCGTGAAGCACAAGCGCGCCTCTCACAGCTACAAGAGCTACGACACAAGTGCCAGCTAGGAACGCGCGTGGATCCCGGCCTACGGGATCCACGATTCTTCCATCGACGAAACTACCACTTGAATTTATCTCTAATCAAGTGAACGATTATTTTCTGTATTTTTAATTCTTCCTCCATGGACATCCAAAGCCGCCGTCAAAAGCTTTACACTTGTGCCAATAATGCACGATTAATTATAATTTAATTCGCGTTTTTAATGCCAAAAGAGCAGATAATAAATTATAATTGTAGTTTTGACTCTTTTGGGCCAAAAGCTTGTATAAAAAATTTTTTAATTTTAAGAAAAAAAATCTTTAAGCCCAAATTATTTTATTTGATTTTCCAACTTTCTGCTTTAAAAATTAAATTTTTTGAATTTTTGGCTATAAAAATAAAAATTAAAAAAAAAAACTTATAAATTGTAATTAAAAAATTTTTCATTTTTTAGCAGAATAATTTGCTTAATTTTTGAAGCAAAGAGTCAGAAAATAGAAATAAAATTTTTTTTATATAATTTTGGCTTTAAGATTTTTTTTTTTAAATAAAGCTAAAAGTGCATAAATTTCTTTTTAATTTTTTCAACAGATTTATGCATTAGAGACATTTTTATGTTGATTAAATAAATAAAAAAAATTTTTATACGCCTTTTTGACTCTAATAACGCGAATTACAATAAATTAATAAACTAATTAATTTTTTAAAAATTATTTAAAGAATATTTTTCGTCCAGAGACTGCATGTATTTTTAAAAATTTCATTATTTTTTATTAATTATTAATTATTTATATTTATTAATTAATTATAAATGCATTGAGTTAATTGATTAATTAATTAATGAACTTTAATACTTGGTCAATTACCAATAATATCCAAAGTTGCCTTTTGTTAATTAATATATTTTATTATTTCTTAAAAATAAGCCATAATTAATAATTATTATTATCAATAAGTATTTTATGATTGTATTAATTTTAAATTAAGGTGTCGCTAAAAAACTGACAAAAAAAATTAAATAGTCATTTTTTTCGCGCCACTATAATATAAATTTTAGTATTAATAAATGAAAAAATTAAAAATGAAAATATAGTGCCAGTGAATGTATGAGAGTGTAAGTGAAAAATAAACAAAATTTATAAATATATTTTTTAACTAGAGTGTAAAAGAATAAAAAAATATTTATTGAAAAATATGAAGGAAGGATTACTATAATTATATAATTTTATAATTATAGTTACAATTATGGAAAAAAAAATAATATAAAATGTGTAATAATTTATTTTTCCATTATGGCTTGTAAAAAAGTTGGAATAAATATTTAAAACTGAGGTCTGATTTATGGACCGCAAGCTAATACGTAAAAAGAAAAATGTATGTAAGGAATAGTTAGTGTATAGAAGATATTACATGTCTGTATAAATAATGAATTCTAAATACATATATGTGAGACCGCGAGATAAATTATTTTTTTGACGTTAATTGTTTATTTTATGGTTATTGTTAGTTACTAAAATAAATATATAATACCGAAAATATAATGATAGGATAGAAGATAGATGTGTAGAAATTATGTTTGTAATGTTATGTGTATTGCAATGAGTAATGAATATTGTGTAGGATTTGAAATTTAAATTATTTCAAATTGATTTTGGTAATAAATGTTGACTATATTTGTTCTTTCTTTTTTTTTATACTCTAAGTTTTTTTATTTAAATAATAATAACAAAAAAAATTACATTTTTTTTTAATATTAGAATTTTTTTAATTATTAGACTATTTTTAATTTATAAAATTTTAAACCTAATTATTAATTTAAAATTCAAGATACGGAAAAAAAATAAAATTTTTTTTTATTGGAAATTAAATTTCTTATGAGATAAATTCTTATCAATTTTTTTCTGTCTAATTTTTAAGACATAAAATAAGCAAAACTTTTTTTAAAAAATTATTAACATAAAACCTAATTTAAAAAGTTTACTTTTAATTTTTAGAAATCATTGTTATTATTATTATATTTATTAGTTTTTTAAAACTTAATCTATAAATAATAAAAAAAAATTTTATAGAGAGATAATGTATAAAATTCCATTTAAAAACACTAAAAAAAAATCTAACTCCTCTAAAAGTTTTAGAAAAAAAAATCTAAATATTCCAATCCGACATAAGAAAATTTTGAATAAATTAAACATTCAGCTAGAAACTCTGAATATTTACAATGACGAAAATCAAGATATTTAAGCCGTTAAAATGTTTTCTTAAAAATCCATTCACTTGTTCAAGGCTCAGTGTTCGGTTATATATTACGAAATCTCATCTCTTGTCATTTTATTATATCTACATGAAAATAATTGGTCAACTAATTAATTGACTTATTGAATAAAAAATAGTAACAGGTAATTATAAATTGTAATAATAAATAAAAAATATATTGTGTAGTGGAGTTTTATTGACAATTTGTCTCTAGTTTTTGTGTATTTTTTTTACCGATAATGAAATAAGAGAGATCTAAGTGGCTCCAAGTAAGAATTACGGCATTAAGACGTTGACTTGTGACAATACTAAACGGTCCATGAATTTATAATTCTCGACAACAATAATCGTATCGAGTAATCGTAAGTAGTTTTGTCGTCGTAGAGGAAAACTTTCTCACCATTAGAAAACAAAATACGCCGCTTGAATATATGTTTTGTGGACATTGTTCTGGTAAACACTCTTTGTATCATAGCAAAAACTCTAATTATTGTTATACTTTTCTTGTTATCATTATCATTATTGTACGCGATTATTCAGACGCGACTAGACACGCGACTTTGCGATTAAGATGAACGAATAAATTATTTTTCAACATAATGCTGACACTTAAATTATTAAAATGACAAAATAGTTAACACATGCTTTTATTTCATTTTTTTATTGAAGAAACTTTATTTATTAATTTTGCTAATAGTTACTTCATTTTTTTTTAGACAAAAGCCTTTTTTCCATTATTTTATTTTGCAATTTTTTTTTTGTTAAATGTTGATGTAGATTAATGTTTTCTCTTTAATTATTTAAAAATTATTACCCCAATCATTTTTTGTCATAAATTTATAATATTATTTTTTAAGTAAAATATAAATATTTTGTCGTTTTAAAACGTCAAAAATTAAATTGCAAATTCATAATAAAAGAATTTTTTACGATAATAATAACTAGCAATCTTGCAGTCACTATGTGACTGCTGTAACTTGTGAACTAATAAAATAAAATTAAAATTTTGCTTTAATTAAAATAATGACTTTTTGTTAGATTGCACTGTA